GCCTTTGACAGGATGTGAGTGGGAGTGCATTCTCGACTCCGTTTGGGGAACGTTCATGGCTCAAGCGTGTTTTCATTTGTTGTGTCCGTGTCATGCCCCTTCGCTGCGCTGATCAGCTTGACTTACGCGGATGGCGTGCGCGGTCCAAACCGCTCCGATATCAGCTCTAGCCGTGACTAGAGAGGGTTTGACTTCTTCCTTCTCGGCCAAGATGCCCTTTATTCATCTGTCTTGCCCAAGCGTTCTGGCTGGACCCTCCAGTGCAGGGTAATGTCGGTGCAAGAGGAGGGAGTGGTTATTCTTAGTTCTGTGTCCTCTCGGGGGAGGGCGCCAGCCTCTCATCCTCGGTAAGATGCCAGCGGTAGGTGTTTTGTTGATGCTCTTTCTCGCAGAGCAAAAATTCCCTTTTATTCCTACTTTGTGGAGTATTTTTATCATGAGAGCGCCCTGGCTTTTGTCAAATGCCGCTTTCTGTGACCATTTTGACGGTCACGTGGCTTCCACCCTTATATTTTAAGTGATGGGTCACAATGTCGTTGCACCAGCTTCGCCTTTATGGGCTAAAACTCCGCTTTGCTTGTGGTTAGTTTTTCTCTTTCTTTCCTCCCATGTTGCCGGCATTGGCCTGCTACGATTTTCTTGGGGATTTTTGAATCCATATACTTTTGTTAAGGCTTATTATTGGTCTATTTCTTGATCTTACGATGTCTTTGATTTATCTGTGATGAAGAGTTGCTTAATATTCCCTGATCGTCTGAGTTTTGGAATCGTTAGGAAAAAATTCCTTTTAGGGCCGGAGCGATAGCACAGCGGGTAGGGCGTTTGCCTTGCATGCAGCCGACCCGGGTTCAATCCCCGGCATCCCATATGGTCCCCCAAGCACCGCCAGGAGTAATTCCTGAGTGCAGAGCCAGGAGTAACCCCTGAGCATTGCTGGGTGTGACCCAAAAAGCAAAAAAAAAAAAATTGCTTTTAAACATTTTTTATAAATGTCTCTTTTTTGAGGGGGGCCCACACCTGATGGTGCTCAAAGGTCGTGCCTATCAGTGTTTGGGGGTCAAGCTGGGGTGGGCTGCACGCAAGTCAGTGTCTTTCCTCCCGTACTAACTTTTCTGGTGCTTGATAGGAATAATATTTTTTTCCTTTATGGGTCATACGTGGTGATACCAGGGGATTCACTCCTGGTTCTGCACTCAGGGATCACTCTTGGTGGGGCAGGGGGTGCCAGGGGTTGAACCTGGGTCAGCCATATGCAAGGCAAACACCTTACCTGCTGTTCCATAGCTCTGGAGATAATAGTTTTCAGGTGTTTAGTAGAATTCACTAGTGATGTTATCTGGTCCTGGGCTTCAGTGTGAGTTAAATGAAATGAATTTACTCTCTTGCTTATGGTAGGGCCACTCCGGTGTTACTTTTGCTTATTTTGGTGGCCTGTATCTTTCTAACCTGGAGGTTATCTGAGTCATAGGCACACAATTGTTTATAGAATTTCCTTACTATCATTTTTACTGGAGCGATAGCACAGCAGGTAGGGCGTTTGCCTTGCATGCGGCTGACCTGGCCGACCCAGGTTCGATTCCTCCGCCCCTCTCGGAGAGCTCGGCAAGCTCCCCATGACGTATTCGAGATGCCAGACACAGTAACAACAAAGTCTCCAATGGAGACGTTACTGGGCCCGCTCGAGCAAATTGATGATCAATAGGAGGGCCTTTATTTATTTTATTATAGTCTCAAAAATCTTTTGATTTTCCCTTGTCACTTGTTTTTAAAAGACGGGTTATTTCAGGCTGTATTGAAGAAGTGCTGAACTTGTATATATTTATGATTTTTTGTAGGGTGTGTCATGTCACGCGAATCTCAGGGCTTACTTCTGGCTCTGTGCTCAGCAATTACTCCTGGGGGTGCTCAGGGGACCATGTGCTGGGAGTTGAACCCAGATTTTCCCCATGCAAGGCTAGTGCCCTAACCACTGTATAATCTTTCCGGCCCCATAATTAGAAATTTTTCCCAGTTCCTTTGATTGTTCACGTCTAGGTTCATGTGCTGTTTGAAGAACCTGCTTGCACTGTTTCAGTGACAGTCCATCCTGGAGGTCAGACTCAAGAATAATATTCATCCTGCAGCTCTGGGATGGGGACAGCCAACAGAGACTCCTGCTGCTTGAGAGAACGGGCAGTGACTGTTCCCCAGCCAGACGCCACCAGGGACTGACCATTCAGGAGCAGCTCATCAAGGTCCGTGAAACAAGTACCCAGTTGGGAGCCAAAAGGAGAACAAGAAATAAAGCCCATACTCTCTGGCTGGGATTTATAGACAAAGGCTGATGCAGAACTTCCACGTGGGAACTAGGGCGGGCAGGGATGTGAAAAGGGGCTTGCTTAATTAAAGGGAGGTAGAGATTTCAGCAGGACCTGTTATTCGTCGATGGCCTCGAGCAGGCCCCAGTAACGTCTCTTTCATCCTAGCCCTGAGATTATATTCAAGGCTCTTTAGGAGAATGAGACCCATCATTGTTAGTGGTATTTGGCATATTTGGTATGCCATGGGGAGTTTGCCAGACTCTGCCCTGTGGGCAGGCTACATTCGATAGCCTGCAAGTTTGTCCAAAGTAGGAATGAGATGATAAGATGTCATAAAAAAGATGTCCTGATAAGATGTCACCCGGCCGCGAATGCACTGGATTTTATACTCTGAGTCTTGGCCATTGATGGGATTACACGGCGCCAGGGGGCCAGGTGGTGGGTGTGACCCCCGCCTACTGGAATTTGGAGGATCTGGGTGGAGGATGCTCGACTCCAATCCGAGTAGGCTTGGAGATCTCGGCCCTGAAACCCGTGTGGCTTTGTCCCTCTGCCAGTACCTTCATGTGTGCGGAGAGTGGTCTCAGCATGGTGGTGGCTGGTCCTGGAGGTCTTTGGCTGCTGGAGCCCTGGTTGGGGCGGGGAGGAAAGCTCGACCCGCTCCCCTCCAAGGGGCCCCGGCAAGGAACAGCCAGGCGCGGGGACAGGAGACTGCACTGTTCTCGTCCGGGAGCTGGATTTTAGTCTCTGAGTCTTGGCCGTTGATGGGATTATACGGCGCCAGGGGGCCAGGTGGTGGGTGTGACTCCCACCTACTGGAATTTGGAGGATTTGAGACCATGCTAGGCGCGGGGGCATGCCCCCACGCCTGGCTACTCCTTCCCGGGGCCCCTTGGAGGGAGCGGGTTGAGCTTTCCTCCCCGCCCCGACCAGGGCTCCGGCAGCCGAAGACCTCCAGGACCAGACACCACCATGCTGAGACCACTCTCCGCACACCTGAAGGTACCGGCAGAGGGACAAAGCCACGTGGGTTCCGGGGCTGAGATCTCCAAGCCTACTCGAATTGGAGTCGAGCATCCTCCACCCAGATCCTCCAAATTCAGCAGGACAGCAGGCAATAATAGAAAACCAGACCTGGCAAACATCTTTAATAGAAAAAAGAAAATCCAACAAGCTATCGAGACGAGAAGATGGTTTCCAGGACAGTCTGTAACATTTTGTGGGACTGGATGGAGAGAGAGTAGCAGGTAGCATGCTCGCCTTGCACGCGGCTGGCCAGGGTTCCATCCCTGAAATGCCATACCAAGAGCACCGTCAGGGGTGATCCCTGAGCGCAGAGCCAGGAGGAAGCCCTGAGCACCGCTGGGTGTGACCCCGAACTCATAGAAATTAGCATTTTGTAACAGGCAGTACCAGAGTAAAAGACTGGGTGCAACAACTTATCCATTTGTTCCCAGTTAAGAGGAGACAAAGAATTCTCTGACAGCAACCTCTGCGACAGTGAATTTTATTCCGATGATAATATGCAAAGCAAGCTTCCTTAAAAATATCCTCACAGAATACCCAAATTGGGGGGGAGGGGCGGAATGAAAGGCCACGCCCACCGACTCATGGAGCAAATAGCCACGCCCACCCACTCACGCCTGATTGGCTGCGGGGCAAGGCCGCCCGAGAGGAGCGAGTAGCCACGCCCACCAACACCTGATTGGCTGCAAAGCAAGGCCGCGGAAAGGAATAGCCGCGCCCACGCCTCACGCCGCTCGGGTGTAGAAAATAGCCACGCCTACCGACTCTAGCCACGCCCACCAACGCACACCTGATTGGCTGCGGGGCCACGCCCACGACTCACGCCTGGAGCAAGGCCGCGGACTCAGGCCTGCCCAGCTGCGGGGCCAGGCCGCCCGGGCGGAGGGAGCAGCCACGCCCACCGGCCCTAGCCACGCCCACCAACTCACGGCTGATTGGCTGCGGGGCCAGGCCGCCGGCGGAGGGAATAGCCACGCCCACGACTCATGCCTGGAGCAAGGCCTCCCAAGAAGAGCAAGTAGCCACGCCCACCGACTCAGGTCAGCCCGGCGGCGGGGCCAGGCCGCCCGGGCTGAGGGATTAGCCACGCCCACCGGCTCTAGCCACGCCTTCTGACTCACGACTGATTGGCTGCGGGGTCAGGCCGCCAGAGTGGAGGGAATAGCCACGCCCTCCGACTCACGCCTGCTCCGCTGCTGCGGGGCCAGGCCGCCCGGGCGGAGGGAGCAGCCACGCCCACCGACCCTAGCCACGCCCACCGACTCACGGCTGATTGGCTGCGGGGCCAGGCGGCCCAAGCCACCGCCCTGCCGGCGGGAGCCCGGGGGCGGGGCCTGGAGTTCTCGGGGCGGGGTTCGGCGCCACTTCCGGGGCGGGCGCACGCACGCAGACACGCACGCACACACGCAGCCCGGGGAGCGGGCGGTCTCCATGGCAACCGGCGGGGCCCGCGCGAGGCCTCGCGCCGCCCGCGCCGCCGCCGCGCCCTCCGCGCCCTCCGCGCCGCCGCCGCCGCCGCGGGCCCGAGCCGAGCGAGCGGGCAGCAGCCGCGGGCGGGCCGGCGCCGCCCCGAGCTGACCCCCGCCCCGGCCCGCGGAGAGGCGGAGGAGGAGGCCGCCGGGCCGGCAGGTAGGCGCAGGTGGGCGCGCCGGGCCCCTTTGTGCCCGCGCGGGGGCATGGTGCAGCCGCGCGCCGCCAAGCTGGAGGCGCCCGCCGCGCCGGCGCCCGCGGGCGGCGCGCAGGTGGACGCCGTGGCGGACACGCTGACCTCGCTGCGCCTGACCAACTCGGCGCTGCGGCGCGAGGCGTCCACGCTGCGCGCCGAGAAGGCCACCCTGACGCACATGCTGGAGAGCGTCACGGCCGAGCTGACGCTGCTGCGCACGCGGGCGCGCATCCCCGGCGCGCTGCAGATCACGCCGCCCGTGTCGGCGATGGCCTCGGCCGGCGCGCGCCCGCTGACCACGCCGCCCACGTCGCTGCCCGAGCCCTTCTCGGGCGAGCCGGGCCAGCTGGCCGGCTTCCTCATGCAGATGGACCGCTTCATGATCTTCCAGGCCTCGCGCTTCCCCGGCGAGGCGGAGCGCGTGGCCTTCCTGGTGTCGCGCCTGACGGGCGAGGCCGAGCGCTGGGCCATCCCGCACATGCAGCCCGGCAGCCCGCTGCGCGACGACTACCAGGGCTTCCTGGCCGAGCTGCGCCGGACCTACAAGGCCCCGCCGCGCCACGCGCGCCGCGCGCAGACCCGCAGGACGGCCGCGGCCACGCGCGCCCTGCGCGAGCGCCAGCTGCTGTGCCGCCAGCTGGCCGCCGCGGCCGCCGCGCCCCCCGCGCCCTGCCCCGTGCACCCGGCCGCCGGCGGGGCCAGCCCCGCGCCCGCCCTGCCCACGCGCGCGCGCCACCTCTGAGGCCCGGCGTGGACCGCCGCCCGCGCCCTCCGGCGCCTCGCATGCGGCCCCCTCCTGCTTGCTCGCGGAAACCCCTTCCTCGCAGAAGAGACGTCCACAGCGCCGCCCCCGGGCCCGGCGCCAGCCCACCTGCAGCGGAGGACCCCCGGTGCGGGCCGGTGACTCGCCGCGGACACCGGGGCGCGGAGCCCGGCGCGCGCCGGTGACTCGCCGCGGACACGGGGGCGCGGAGCCCGGCGCGCGCCGGTGACTCGCCGTGGACGGACACCCGTGCGGAGCCCGGCCTCCTGCCCGTGGGGGTCAGTGTGGCAGGCCGTGGCCTCGTCCCGGCTCCGAGGAGTGCCTCCTACCAGCTCCAGGGTCAGGACCTTCGGGATGCGCTTCTGGGGATCGCGGGCAGCTGGTGGGCACAGCCCGGCCTTCCCCTCGCACCACGCCCCTTGGAAGTCACGGCAGGACACCCGGCCCCAGCACCTGCTCCCGGAAGCAACCTGTGAGGCCCGGCCCTGGGTGACCCAGCGGCGCCGCAGGGCCTGCTGGGCAGCTCAGATGCCTCCGGCCGCCCGTCATCCCTCTCCCGAGGGGCTTCATCAGCCAGGCCGGGCGGCCCTGCCCGGAGCTCTGCCTTCTCAGTCCGTCTGAAGCCAAATTGCTGCGTCCATATGGCCGCTGAACCTTGGTCACCGCGGGGGTGCAGGGTGTGGGGGGATCTGCCCTGCTCTGATGCCTGATCTAGGCAGCGCTGGCCCAGGGTCCCCAAGGCTGGGCCTGAGGACCCTCCCTCTTGCCCCGGGGTTTGGATGTGGTGGGCAGGTGACGGCATCTCCCGGGTCTCCCCGATGCCCTCGCTGGCCCTGCCCAGCAGCCACCAGCCCATGCCGGCCAGGTGGGACCTTGGCGTGAGGAGAGGGAAACACCCTGTGGGTCCTTTTCCTGGGGGAACCCCGAGGGCCGCGGCCCCAAGTCCCACAGCGTGTCCATGGCCCAGCGCAGCGGCCCTGGGGGTTCCTAGGCCCGGCGGGGCAGCTGCTCTGTTCTTTTGTGGGGGTCCGAGTTCTTTGAGCTGACAACAGTGGCTTCGTGAAGGGGATGGGTCGGGAGCGGGCCAGGGCCAGTGGCTGGGACCCCGACGGTTCCCGAGAGTGAGGCCTGGCAGGCAGGGGTGAGGCTGCCGAATGGGGGGGGTGCCTTGGGCTCACGGACACTGTGATCCAAAAGCATTTCTGGGACGTCTGGGGAAAAACTGAGAGCCTTCGGGGCCGGGGGGTCCCGGGGAGGCATCTGTTGAGCAGGTGGTGAGGACGCGCCCCCTCTGTCGGGGTGCAGGCCTGGTCTGGCCAGGGGAGAGCCTACAGGGTGGCTCTGGGGTGGGCGTCCTTATCTGGAGGGCAAAGGTCAGGGCCTCCAGATGGAGGCTGGGGGTGACCTGTGGATCTGAGCCTCCCTGCGGGGGTCCCCTCAGCTGTGGAGGACGGCGAGGGGAGACGAGCCAGCAGCACTGCGGGGTCAGCAGAGGGTGGACGGAGCTGGTGGGCGCCCACGGTCAGCACGTGCCGCTGGGCAGCCCCTTTGGTGGGCATGCCTGGCCCTCCCCGGCTTGGTGCTGCGGGCAGTGGGCCCCGACAAGTCCCCCCCCCCCACTTGGAGGCGAGCACCCCCTAGGGAGGGTCCTCCCTGCACCGAGCCTTTCCTGCAGACCTCCCTCCACAGGGCCAGTGGACCCCACCCCAGCCTTGGAGTTTCCCACTACGCACGGCGGAACCTTCCAGAGCTGGCCTCCAGCCAGGCGCCCCGCCCCTCCCACCTGGGACCGTGGCGCGGGGGCGTCTCTCCAGGCCCCTGGCAGACCCGCGTCCTTCCCCCGAAGCTGTCGTGTTTCCCCCGTGGGTGTCTGTGTCCTTTGCGCTGGCGTCCGGGGGCCGCGCTGTGTCCAAGCTATCACCTATTAAAGGTAGTCACGTGCCGTCCTGTCTCCGCATGTCTCTGGGGCCGCTCCCACCTCTGTCCTGGTGGCCTGTGCCCGTCGTGGTCCTGCGGTGCCAGATGGTCACCTATGTGGCTCTCCGGGTGCTGGGGACCAGCCACATGGGGCCCGACTTGTGCTCCTGCCCCCAGTCTCTGCAGGGGAGGGGGTGTCTCTGCCTTGCAGGGGGCGGGTGCGGGTCCATCCTCATTCGCCCTGTTGGACAGTCAAGTGGGGAGATCCCGCCAGTGCCCACAGAAGCAGCACACTAAGGAAAAACGCAGTTTGGGTCTAAAACAGGAGAAATAGGGCCCAAGGCCATGGTGGGTGGCCCCTGTGTTGGCATGTGCCAGGGCAGAGTGGTGGGAGCTGCCGCCTCACCCTGGGGTGCTGCCTGCCCCAGGACGGGTCCTGGTGTCCTCAGGAGGGCTCGTTGGGGGCTTCCCTGCAGCGCCCCCTCCCTGAGCATGCCGCCCCCCCCCCCTCGGGTGCTGTACGTCGGACCCTCCCCAGGTGCCCGGTGTAGCGCCCAGGGCCCTGCTGCTTGGAGCAGCTGGTCCTGCCAAGGTCACCCAGGGGTGGCCCGACAGGCAGGGCTGTGGGGGGCCAATGCGTAGGGCCCTTTCCTGCAAATCCTCCTCCCTGGGTTGCCACCCTCTGGGGCTGGCGGTGGGCAGAGAGGGGAGAAGCCTTGGGGTGCAGGTGTCTGCCGCCAGGGCACGGCTCGGGCACGGCTGCCAAAGCCTGTCCTCAGAGGGTGGCAGGGGCCCCCGGACAGGCCGTCAGCGAGCACCCGGCCCCACTCCGGCTTCTTGGGGCAGCCGTCCCGCAGAGACCCTCATCAGGATGGCTCGCTGTGTCGCCCTCCCTGCCGTCCCGGCCCCTCCCTCCCTCCATCTCTCCCTGCAGACGGGGAGTCTCCTGAGAGACCCCTGGGCAGTGAGACCCCGCGAGGGGGCCAGGAGTGCCTGGTCCCAGAGCAGAGGCCGGTTCCTGAGCCAGGCAACTCAGTGGCCCCAAGTGCCCAGTACAACAGCCGCGGCCACTGCCTCCTGTATTCGGGCTTGCAGGTGGAGTCTGCATGTCCCACCCCTGCCTGGGGGTGCAGCCCCTCCGGCCTCACCCTGCCTGGGGGGTGCAGCCCCTCCAACCTCACCCCTGCCTGGGGTGCAGCCCCTCCGACCTCAGCCCTGCCTAGGTGGATGCAGTCCCTCACACCTCACCCCTGCTGGCAGGGGGGAGGGGGTGTTGCAGCTCCTCACACCTCACCCCTACCTGGGCATGCAGTCCCTCATGCCTCACCCCTACCTGCAGGTGCAACCCCTCATGATTTATTCATTCCTGCCTATGAGCGCAGCCCCTCACTCCTTGCCCTTGCCTGGTGATGCAGCCCTGCAAGCCTCACCCCTGCCGGAGATAGGGGTGTGAAGCCCCTCACACCCTGCCCCTTCCTAGGGCTCAGCCCCTCATGCCTCATCCCTGCCTTGGGGTATAGCCCTCACCCTGCCCATGCCTGGGACACAGCCCCTTGTGCCTTGCCCAGGATGTAGACCCTCTCTCATTGCCCCGATCCATGAGTACAGACCCTCATGCCTCGCCCCTACGTGTGGGCACAGCCCCTCACACCTCACCCCTGCCCAGGGTACAGCCCCTCATGCCGTGCCCCTCACCCGATGACCAGGCCCCCGTCTCTGGATGTGTCGGACATTGTGACGCCAGCAGCCTGTCCCACCCCTACTGGGGATGGAACGGGGTTTCTGGGGGTACTTCCCGCTGCCCCTGAGATGTCCCCCCACTTCCTGTCTGGAGGAGGCTAGTGGAGGAAGGGCACTGGGACCCGGCCCTGGCCGCCTTGCTGCTGTCTCCATGCGGGTGGCCGTGGCCCAGGGCAGCCGCTGGTGTCCAGGCGCTCTGGGACTGCTGACGCCGCCACCCAGAGAACAGCTCCAGGCTGCAGGGACGGCCAGGATCTTCACGAGCTGCAGGTACGTGGGGTGAGGCCACAGACGCACACACCAACACGCACTTTACATGTACGACACAGTCACACTGCACACACCACGTAAGCGCAAGACACGCCACGTGTACCATAGACACACAACGTGGACCACACAACCGATGACACGACACAATGCACAACATGCCTGCGCAGTCACACATCACGTACACCACACACGGCACACACACAACAACAGGCGTGAGCAGACCCCCGTGTGCCGGTACATGGCAGACATGGACACACACGGACACACAGCGCCCCTGCACGATGCTGTGGGGGGCCTCACAGGTGCTCCTGACCGCGGCAGCAAGGGTGGGTGAGGGTGCCGCCCACGCCAGGAACAGATGCAGTGTGACGGCTCCAACTCCTGCACAGGACACTGCCCGGAGTGGACACGGAGTGGGGTCTGGGAGTGGACACAGGCTGGGGGTGGGGCATGGGGGCTCGGAGTGGACACAGGGCAGGGGTTATACACGGGAGCTGGGATGGGGGAGGGATGGACATGGCATAGAGGGTGAGAGATGGGGCTGGAAGTGGACACAGGGCACAGGGGTGGGATATCAAGACTGGGCCATGGCAGGGTGGACATGAGGCTGGGCCATAGGTTGGCTACGGGGGTGGGAGCAGTATTGGCAAAATGGTGGCAGGAGCTGGTGAGTGTGGCGGCCACTTGCCAGGCTTCTAAGTGAGAGGTGCAGCTAAAGGGGAGGTCAGTGGTCAGTGGGGAGAGGGACCCTTGGGGCTCCCCTCTCCGGTCCAGGCTGGGGTGCAGGGGCACACAGCTGAGGGTCTGGGGGGGCCTTTGCCCAGTACAAGTTGTCGCTGCTCCCCACCCACCCCACCCATCATCCCGGGGCTTAGACGGGGTCTGGGGGTGGCCTTCCCTCTGGGCAGAGTCTGGGGGGAGCAGAAGGGTGACCTCACAGACCGGCAGGGCCCCCCGTTATTAAAACCTGTGCTTCTTGCAGTCAGAAGGGGCTGAAACATGAGGAAATGTTTTTTTTTCTTTTTTTACCTTTTACCTTTTTTCTTTGTTTTTGG